AAGCCACCAGGTCCAGGACTCAAACTGTGGTTGGCCTTGTGGGAGTCCAGCGCCCTCAATCACCATGCCACCATGTGGTGTTGTTTTTTTTTTTTTTTGGACCAACAGATGGCATAATGGTTATGTCATTGGACTCTCACACAGTCAAATACAGTTCGAGTCCCAGACTGGGCAGCTTAAAACTCACACCAGGCACATGTACATGCATGCCCAAGAACCAGAGAGGAAAATAGAGAAGGGAGTGCAGTGTGATGAACCCCTCGGGGAGAGATTTCTAACTTTCTGTCTCTGACTTTTAGGTGAGCACATGCACCTTATAGCAAAAACCTCTCTTAAAAAAAAAAAAAAAAAGAACTATGATTTTTTAAAAAGTTGTTATTCAAAGAAATCTAAGATTCCAGAAGGTAGGCTCTTATAATAAGAGTATAAGTGGGGCCAGCAGGTGGCAGGATGGTTAAGGGTGCTGGACTCCTACATTACAGACTGCAGTTCAAGTCCTGGACCTGGTGGCTTGCTTTCTCACTTTCTCTCTCTCTGTCCCTCTCAGGTCAAACTGGAAAAAAAAAAAAAAGTTAAATAAAATAATTATTAAAAAAAAAAAGTGTAAGTAGGGGAGCTGGTCCTAGACCTGGCAGTCCGACGATCACATCAAATAAATAAATAAACAAAGTATAAGTGGGGCCGGCAAGTGGCATGGCGGTTAAAGGTGCTGGACTCCCACGTGGCCGACCATGGTTCAAGTCTCGGACCTGGTGGCTTGCTTTCTCACTTTCTCTCTCTCTCTCTCTGTATCTCTCTGATCAAACTGGAAAATAATAATGATAATAATAAAGTTAAAAAAATAATTCTTTAAAAAAAAAAGAGTATAAGTAAGGAAATTTGGCTTTAGGAACCAAGACATAAACTTCAGACCCCTAGTTTGTTATCACTTAATCCTCCCAACTTTTTGGTCATGTCTCAGAGCTTTCACAGCAGCAACAGTGGATGTGGGAAAACATTGCACTTACATAGGCGTTGAGGGCATCATTGGCTTCTCTCTCTGAGACACCAGTGGTCATTGACGTCACGATGCTCATACACCTTTCCAACCTCTAGGAAGGAGTGAGAAAAAAATGAATAATGTGTCAGAATACCAAAGTGAAGTACTTCTGGCCCCAAAAAGTTTTCTAAAAATTCAAACTTGATCATGCCTTTTGATCTGATTTATTGGTAAAGTCACCATGGGGATATAATCAATTAAAATCCAGAAAGTGGAAACCATGACAAATGACCTGGTTTCCTTAACACATAAATTGCCAGGAAAGAAAGTGAAGGAAACTCATATACTAAGAAACTAGATTACAACTCACTGAAAAAAAAACAAAAGTCCACGAGTCCATGCTGATATGTATATACACAGTAAAGGAAATGGAAAACTCTTTCTTATACTAGAATGTCAAAAATAAATGGAGAAGGAATAGCAAAATATTCAGGCAAAAAGCAACAGATGTCAAAACCAGTAAGTGAAAGATAGGAGAAAGGTGTGGTGAAGGCACTGGACTCCCACATGGCCATAGTTCGAGTCTCAGACCCAGTGGCTTGGTTTCTTACTACCTCTCTCTCTCTCTCTCTAGTCAAATTGAAGAATGAGGGACCAGCAGATGGCTTAATGGTTACATCACTGGACTCCCACATGGTCGACCACAGTTCGAATCCTAGACCCAGCGGCTTAAACTCGTACCGGGCGCATTTGCATTGCATGCCCAAGATCCTGAGAGGAAATGGAGGAGAAGGAACTGCAGCATGGCCATGCCCCCTGGGAGGGGATTTCTCATTTTCTGTCTGTCTGTCTCTCTCTGTCTTTCTGGTGAGCACATGCACCCCATAGCAAGTATCTCTCCAAAAAAAGAAAAAAAACAGTTGAAGAATGACAATAATAAATATAAAATTAAATATTTTTTTTTAAGTTAGGAGAAAGGATATTTACTACACAGGTTCCAAATACTTACTAATTACAAAGAAAAAAATAATAATGCATATTCAAAATGTCTGCCAAAAATGTTAAAAATGCAACCGGCTGGGGGATAGTGGACTGGGTGGCTGGATCCCACATGGCTGATAGTGCAGTTTGAATCCTGCAGCTTGGGAAGTACACCAAGCACATGTGTGTGCATGCCCCAAATCCAGAAAGTGAGGAGAGAGAGGGGAAAGGACTGCAGTGTGGCTGTTTTACATGGAGGGTGCTTTCTCCTTTTCCCTCTCTCCAGTAGGTGCATGTGCCCTCCAGCAAATTAAAGAATAAATAAAAAATTGACAAGAATGCATGGAAAGAAAAAGAATGGCAGAGAATAAAAGGCCAAACTAAAACCTACCAGGGTCTCTGTTAAACGAAGGTGGGGAAAGCTGCAAAAGTCTATCCAAGAAGGCCAGCTCCACAGCACAGCAATTAAGTGCTATGCACAGAAGGTAGGATGCCACATGGCCAGCTGCAGTTCAAGTTCTTTCCCAGATGGCTTGAGAAACACTGGGCACGTGTGCCCCAAATCCAGACGAACTAGAGAAATGGAGGGGGGGAGATCGTGGTATGACCAGAACTCAGTGGAGGAGTGCCTTACCTCTCTCTCAGACAGGTGCATGTGCCACCTGTTTTTTGTTTTAGTTACACAAAAAAAAAAAAAAAAAAAAAAAAAAAAACTTGGGGCAGTGATTAAAGTAGCTGAATTGTACGTGATTGACCATGTGGTTGGAGGCTGGACCCAGCAGCTTGAAAAACATACCAGAAGAGGGCCAGCAAATGGTGCAATGGTTGAGGTACTGGACTCACACATGGCCAATCATGATTGGAGTCCTAGACCTGGAAACTTGAAATTCACGTCAGGCACATGCGTGTGCATGCCCCAAATCCTGAGAGAATGGAAGAGAAGGGATTGTGGCATGGCCACCCACCGAGAGGTGATTTATCACTTTCTTTGTCTCTATCTCTCTGGCAAGCGCATGTGCCCTATAGCAAAAATCTCTCAAAAACAAACACAAATACAAAAACATAAACACACCAGGCACCTGTGCCCAAAATCCTTAAAAGAGAGAAAGATGATGGAAAAGGGATTGTAACATGGCTATTCCCCATGGGAGGTGCTTTCTGTCTCTCTCTTTCTTTCTCCCTCTCCACCACTCTCAGTGAGCATTTATTTTTCTGGCTTTTTTTTTTTTAAGGTTTTTGTCATAGAGTGAGTGCACTAATCGAGGAGACAGTGAGAAGGAAAGTGAGAAATCACCCTTCAGTGGGAATGGCCATGCAGCAATCCCTTCTCCATTGGCCTCCTGGGATTTTGAGCACACATGCACACACATCTGACGTGATTTTGCAAGCCACCAGGTCTAAGACTTGAACCACAGTTAGCCATATGGGGGTCCAGTTACCTTAACCACCACATCACCTGCTGGCCCCCCACTTGGTCTTAAAGGTTACCACAAATGATCTGGTTGAGAAATGGTTCTATTACAGCATTGGGAGGAACTGACAAGGACACTGGGAAAGAAGTCTCAGAATGAAAGGCAATCATGTTTCTCCTTTGATCATCATCCCAAGGCTGTCTATGCCTGGCCTGTGTAACAGCATTAGGGGCAGAGGCAAAACTGAGTGTTAAGGCAAGGAGCTCCCATAGCAATAAAACATCAACCTAAATTAAGCCCAAAGTCACTATGGTTTGAAGGTATTACAATTTCACTACCCAACATTAAATGTGACTCTCCTCCAAATTAGGTCAGGTCAGCAGGCTCGGCCTTAACAAATAGCACCTTGGGACTTGTGAAAAGGAGCTGTGAGATCACATGAAAATGGAGCTGTGACTCTCACAACTCACCTCTCCCACAGCTCTGAGATCCATCATCACCTAGGCCACTCCTATCTCACAAGGGGAGAGAAGGAAAATCTTCAGGCCGAATTTCTCTTTTTAAATCTTACCCTCTCCACCCAATACAGTCATCAAGAACGGAATGATCAGACTCTTGCTGAGAGATCTGATGGGCACCCCCATGACAAGTCCAGGTTTACAAGCAGTTTGAGTGGAAGAAGATAGTGAACACACAGCAGCACAGTAGCATAAAATTCTAGATACTGCTATCAAAGGAAGAAATCTCTGCTGAATCTATGGGTAGGAGAGGCAAAAGAAGCACACAGCAGCTAGCTAATGAGCAAACTGATGGGAAGCGCAATAGAGAACACCATGCCTCCCAGGTTAATCTTGGAAGAGTTACTTCACCTCTCTAAAAATCTGGTTTGTGCCCAGCCAGGCTGAAAAGGTTCTTCTCCTACCTACCCTTTGTAAACTTTCACCTTCTATGAGAAGAGGAGGTAGGAAGAGGGGAAGAGGCTGGAATGATGGATCCTGTACCAAGATCTTGCAAAGCTGGCTACGCTGCCTTATGGGCCAGCCAAGTCTCTGCCTGTGATCTAGCAGAGACTGGGCTGAACAGATTTCCTAGGCCACTCCCCAGTGTCCTAAACTCTGCTTCTGAGTCAATTCTATGGGCCGCTGCCCAGCCAAGGAAAAAAGTGGCCTCTTGAAATGGAGGCCCAGACAAGGATATAGAAAGTGGAAGAGTTCAAAATTTGGATGAGTGGATAAAAGTACTATGAGGGCCAGTCCTTTCCAGGCAACAGAAGTGTAGAAAATGCTGCTCTTGAAATACAGAAATTATTTTTCCAAACAGGGATGAAAGAACTAATTAAAAATCATTCAGCATGACAGAAAGTCCATATCCCTTCAGAGGGTCACAGGAAGTCAATTCCCTAAAATTAAGTAATAGTATGCCTCTTCTCCCAGTATCCAGGGCCCCTAGAAAAGCTGGAATCAGACATGCAGTTCCCGAAACTTCTGGCAGAAAGGCTCAGTTCAGGGTGAGCTCTCCATGACAGCATCTCAGAAAGCTGAGTAAATATTTATCATTTCCAGGAGCTCCTGAATTGATTTTTCTAGTACTAAGACTACCTGACCATGGTTTCCAGGACAGCAGCAGTAGACAGAATGTGAGAAGGGGAACAGGGGCTGCGGGGAAGGGGTGAGGGTGCCTTCTTGTTTGTCAGTGTACACCAAAAGCTAAAGACTAAAGTTGGAGAACAAAGTTAAAGGGACCCCTCTAACCTCTCCATTTCCCCTTCCTCAGTCAGGTGAATATACAATCTGGTAAAAAGTGTACAGTAAGTACTGCTCCCTTAGGAGTCAGTGACCTTTTCTGCCATCTTCAGAAAAAGGAGATATGATCTAACCTACAAAAACTCCCAACTCCTGGGGCCAGCAGGTGGCATGGTGGTTAAGGGCGCTGGATTCCCACATGGCTGATTGTGGTTCAAGTCCCGGACCTGGCGGCTTGCTTTCTCACTTTCTCTCTCTCTCTCTCTCTAGTCAAATTAAAATAAGTAAATAAAGTTAAATAAATAAAATAATTCTTTAAAAGAAAAACCAAAGCTCCAAAATCCACATCAGTAAGGAGTTACTGAACACGATGGATTCCCAGTATTCCACAACCAAGAGTCATTTGTGTGTGAAATAATGACTTAACGGGGAAAAGAAAATGAGTAACTCGACACCATTCCCTGGAGATTCTGCACAGATAGAATATGAATTATTCCTTGGGGAAAACCTGGTGGAGACATACCTCTAAGCAGATACAAGCCTGAGACCTATCCATAGCTTAAGAGGAAGTTGTGACTTCTTTGGGCCACAGCTCCTATTTTCAGTTTAACTTCAAAGTGACTGATCTCTCTTCAGCAGAGGAATAACCAGGAGCTGTAAAGACTCATGAGACTAGGAACTACATGTTCTAAACTCCTCAATCTCTGGCACTATTTTTATCTCATTCCTCCCCAAATTGGGACAGTGAGGTTTCTGCCTTCAAAGAGAGGAACAGGGTCAAAGAGAAGAAAAGATACAATAAAATGTTCTCTAGGGTAAAAGTGTCAGTCCCTGACCAGTTTACTTTTTTTTTTTTTTTTTGAGGGTTTTTCGCTATAGGGCGCATGCGCTCACCAGAAAGACAGAGAGAGACAAAGACAGAAAGTGAGAAATCACACCCCAGGGGGGATGGCCACATCGCAATCCCTTCTCCTCCATTCTCCTCTCGGGATCTTGGGCACGCACGCACATGTGCCCAGCCTAAATTTAAGCCACCGGGTCCGAGACTCAAACCACACTCAACTACATGGGAGTCCAGCAACATAGCCATTACGCCAACTGCTGGTCCCCAGTTTACTCTTGACCAGAGTTTCACACTCCAGTCCTCTAACAGGCCTTTCCTATTTACACATCCAGCTGTAATGACCTCAGTTTCTTCACTATCCTAACCAGTTATTGTTTGTTTGAAATCTTTGTTTCTTTTGAAACCTTCTTTGGAGGACTACAGTCCTTTTCTGCCATCTTCAGAAAAGGGAGATAAGATCTAACCTACAAAAACTGTGCATTAACTCAAGTTTTTGGGTGATAAACTCTGGAAGAGAGTTTGGGTCTCTCTCACTCTATTTTCCAACTAGACTCAGCACAGAGTAAGAATCTACAGTCAGAAACCTACCTCTGTGTTCCTGGGCTATAGAGAGGTCTGGGATGGGGGAAAAAAAAGCCAGAACAAGCCAAGATCAGCTGGTCAACACTAGGATTTGATAACTTCTGTGTGCAGAAATCTGTAGGGAGACCCAGAGGAAGAAGCCAGTAAGTCCTGCCCTTTGAAACACTCTGATCCAGAGAGGATAACAAAATCACACACATGGGGAAAAAATAGTGTGACAAGGCTTGCTGGAAAATTCAAATGCAAAGGATAAAGGGCAAAGAAGGAAAAGGGGGAGTTTGAGACATACTAGAAAACATCCACACTATGAAGGAGGTCAGGAAAAAAACCAAGAGACTCTCCATCTTTTTTCTCACTAAAAACAGTTGAAAGTTCATTCTCAATCTAAGAAAGAAAATAAATGCTTCCTGGGAACCAGCAGTTAGCGTAATGGCTATGTCGCTGGACTCCCACGTAGTCGACCGCGGTTCGCGTCCCGGACCCGGTGGCTTAAAAACTCACGCCGGGTGCGTGTGTGTGCGTGCCCAAGATCCTGAGAGGATAATGGAGGAGAAGGGATTGTGGCGTGACCATCCCCCCTGGGGGGTGATTTCTCGCTTTCTGTCTCTATGTCTCTCTCTGTCTGGTGAGCGCACGCGCCCTATAGCAAAAAACCTCTCCAAAAAGAAAAAAAATGCTTCCTCTCTGTTGTGTCCCCTCCTGCCACATTGTTTACTAGTAAACATGCCACTGCTTAGAAAAACAGGATGCTGTACTAGCCTATGGTACAAAAATGGGCCTATGACTCCTCTAGGAGTCAGGGTGGGAAATAAACACATTTTCATCCACTCTCAGTGTCTTTTCCTTTCCATTCAAACTAGTGGAAGGATCAAGGACAGTCACTACTGACTTTATACAATTCTAGAGCTCCAATAGGAGCTCAAGAAAGACTCTGACAATGCCAAGGGCTATTTCTTTAAAAATGTATAATTCAAACTGCCAGGCAATCCTAGTCACTTTTATTTATTTTGGGAACACATTAATTTTAGAAATATTGTTTACATTCCTAATTATATTTACCTTAGTTGATAAGTCAACAGAAAGCAAACTTTGATTTCTCTAAATGCACATAATATTTTGGGGAAAAAAGCATGATGGGAAGCCAAGCTGCAAGAAGACATTTGCTAATCACAAAGTTGCTATCCAGTCACCTCTTGATTCAAAATTTATTTTTCCATATTCTCTCTACAAATTTGTATTTGACCCACCACTTTTTTTTTTGGGAAAGGTTTTCACTATAGGGCACGTGCGCTCGCCAGAGAGAGAGAGACATAGAGATAGAAAGCGAGAAATCACCCCCCAGGAGGGATGGTCACGCCGCAATCCCTTCTCCTCCATTCTCCTCTCGGGATCTTGGGCACGCACACACGCCTGGCGTGAGTTTTAAACCACTGGGTCTGGGACGCGAACCGCGGTTGACTACGTGGGAGTCCAGCGACATAGCCATTACGCTAACTGCTGGTTCCTAAACCCAGCACTTTTTTTCCAAATCTAAATTATGCATTTCACCTGTCAGTGCACTTTTTTTTTTTTTTTTGCGAGATTTTTGCTCTAGCGTGTGTGCGCTCACCAGAGACAGAAAGCAAGAAATCACTCCTCAGGAGGTATGGACATGCCGCAATCCTTTCTCCTCCATTCTCTTCTTAGGATTTTGGCCATGCAGGCACGCACACCTGTGAGTTTGCACAGGCGCCTGATGTGAGTTTTAAGTCAGGACTGAAAACAGTTTTGAGTCCAGGACTCAAATTGCAGTTGACTACATGGGAGTCCAGCAACATAACCATTACACCATCTGCTGGCCCCTTGATTCAAAGTTCATTTTTGCATATGCCTTCTACCATCTTGTATTTGACACACCACTTTTTTCAGATCTAAACTATGAATTTCTCCTGTCAGTCCATATTTTAATATGTGATAAGAGGCAGTGATTAAAGGCTGTGACAAAAGGCAGGGAAAACAGCCAGTGAATAGCCAGAGTGTGTTAATTTACTCATTCTGTCTCTGGAAAACCACTGGACTGAAGGTATTAGGCCTCACAACCAGTTCAGCAATCATGTCCCAGGCCTGGGTCTCATCTCCCTAAGTGTGTCTCATTTATAGCAGCGGGAAGAGATACGTGGTTAACTCTGGACTGCCAGGGACAGGGGCAAGAGGAACAAGGCAAGGAAAGTGTGGGGTAACTATCAAGGTCTCTCAAGTCCTCACAAGGTCCAATTCCACGCCTCACTCCACCCTCTTTCTCAGCACTTCTGAATCCCCTTTGTGTTTGTGCTGTTCCTGAAGGAAAAGTCCCTTAGGACCCATTCACCCCTTAACCCACTGCTGTGGCAGATGCCAACAAACTAAACACTACTCAGTTCTTTAAGTCTTCTCTCATGCTAAAAGCCCATTCAACATCACAGGCAGGTAGCTGTGTCTCCACCAAGTCAATGCTACCATCTAACAGGTCGAAGATTGGCTGCAAGCTCCTATCAGCCCTTAGAACTTAGACACACACTTATTACTTCTCAACTCAGTATAAGACCTACCTACGTCTAAGACAACTGCAGTGTGTACGTGCAAAGGAATGATAAAGATCAACTGGGGTTAAGTCTGGATGCTGTACCCCTTCCTTTACCAACACCCCCCACCCATTTTCATACTAGTGGCTACTGTTACTATGACAACCTGTCCAGGAAGTTGGCCCACACTTTCCTTCAGGAGCAGGAAGCTGGAGCAGTGTTTGTGTTGTCTCAGAAAAAACTTGAAGGCCTCCTCCCGCCACCCCCACCACGTATCCATTCCAGTATCCCTCAACCCCATTTCTTAACTCCCTTCCCCACCCACCCCCTCACCTACCTCCTCTAACTCATCCTTGGCATCCAAACTGGTTGAAAGTAGCAGCCTCCCCCCTCCTGGGGATCCTGCTCCCGCTCCTCCTCCTCCACCTCCCGCTGCTCCCGAAGCAGCTGCTGCTGCTGCCCCCTTTCCCTTCTGTAACTCCATGGCTGCAGCCCGGAGACGGGAAAAGGTCAGGGAGTAGATGGGAGGAAAGTCCTAGAAATAGGGAACTCTGGGCTGCCAGGGACGGGGGGCAAGAGGAACGAGAGGAGGAGGGCAGCGTCCCCGTCCTCTCCACTCCTCCCTCCTCTCCGAAAGGCCGCGCCCGCGTAGGGGCGAAGGCAGCCGGTCCTCAGGGTCTTGCCTCTGGAGTGGCAGTGCGCAGGCAAAGCCGTTAGCTCCGCTGTGTGCTGGGGCGAGGCTCTGTGCCTCTATGGGAAGGGTTCGAGAGGCTTCCCCCGTGAAAAAGTGGAAGGGGAGCCCTTTCTGGCTTCTGACCCTAAGAGAAGGAGGGAAAACCCTAAGTTTCTGCCTCGAGGTGGGGGTGAAAGAAGAGTCCTGCCCCCCAGATAGGGGTAGGAAACCCTCCAGGCTGCTGCCCCAAGGGCTGGGGAACGAGGCTCTTTGGCTCCGGGCCCTAAGGGTGAGGGTGAGGCAGTAAGCGCTATAGGAGGACACGGAGGACCAGCTGCTCCCTACACCACACAGAGGCGGCCATGGTGGAAGGGCGGGGGATGAGAAGGCTGAGGGCGGCGGCGGGGGAGGGGGAGAGATCGTCGAGCCCCGCGCCGGAAGTGAGCAGTCGCGGCCTCTGGCCTCCGCCAATGGCGGGTTCTGCGGCGGCGCTGGGGCTCCCAGAGGGA